GTAACTCAAGCCATCTCGATCACCAGCTGCTCAGATGACTGAGATGAGGGGTCACAAATATTATATATTAGTGGGGTTATATAAAAGCTTTATATAATGATAAATGGTCTCTTTGTATACTATCTGTATTTACATTTGCCTCACGCCCTCAATCCTTATGGAAGAATTAGAAAAGTAAGAAAACAAGACCCGACTCTCATCCGAGGAGCCCGAGTACGAGATGGTCAAGACTCGCCTCTGTTTGACAGTGTAGCTTATTTATTACGTGTCCACCAATTAATGATGGAAGCTTTTACTTGGATAAATTTGGCGCTGCATGCGCTAAATTAGTGGAAGTGAATGACATCAAAACTTTTCGAAAAGTGAACTCGGCCTCGCTGATTTGCAAGTTGGAGGCTGTGAATATGATTCGTATCCCCCGCTTCTCCCAGGAAACTCATATTTTTCTTTTGGAAAGAGTTTATATAAGGTGCAAATTAGGTGCATCTGAAAAGCCTACTAGAGAAGGTCGTTTCTGTGCTGCAAAACCCTCAAATATATAATCTCGACCTCAAGATTTATAGCCATGAAAAATAGTGGAATTTTCGCCTTAAAAATAGTTTATTTTCAAACACGTTATCTCAACTGTCTATTTTTAAGATTTTTAAATATTTATAAATTTGCTTGATCTTCATTATTTTTAGAACTTTAAATTTCATAATTTAGGAAAACAATAGATTTTCATATTATTGTAAGGCTTTGCGGCACCAAAACTACATTTTTATCATAGTTTTGAGGTACACCTTACTTTAATAGTTTAAAGTTGACACCTTATGGTATTGGGCTTTCTTGTTGGTAGATGCTTCCTCGAAATCTCGATCGCATCATTAATTATCATGTTGTAAATAGTCTTTCAAATAAGGGCGTTGCGTTATGGAAAATTTTTAGAAGTGCTATTCTTTGGTATATACGGTTAGAGCGCAACAGAAGAACCTTTGATGGGGTTTCTCAGTGGGCTAAGAGGGTCAAAGACCTTATTCTGCATTCTCTCTGAAACTGGTTCTCTTCTATGCCAGAAGGTATAGGTGTTCTTCGGACAACCATTTATGTCAACCCAAAAGTTCTTGTAAATTCTTATTCTTCCTCTAATCGACCCACTAGAATTTGGGTTGCACCACCAGAATGTTGCATCAAACTGAACTTTGATGGCAGTTCCTTTGGTAGCCCAGGTCCGGCTGGTGTTGGCAGCGTGCTGCGTGATATTCAGGAGGAGTGATGTTCTCCTTCTCTAGCCCTTGTGGCTCTACGACCGCCAATCAAGCTGAACTGACTGCTCTCCTCCAAGATCTCCAAATTATTATTGACAAAGGTTTTAATTGAGAAATTGTGGTACAAGGGGATTCACTAAATGTTATCCTAACAAAGGGCTATGTGGTCCTCTTCTCTCTCTAGATTAAAATCTTAGACCTATATGCCTTACCTTTCTTTCATCTACACTCTATGCGAGGCAAATGAATGTGGTGATGGTCTTGCTAAGTTGGGTGTTTCCCTTCCCTCTCGACTTGTTTCTAACTCTTGTAACCTCATGCTTTTGAAGTATTTTATAAAATGAACTTTCATTAATTACAAGAGACACATATGGTATGATTATTGAAGATAGAGATAACCTTATTAGCAAACTAACTTAATGACCAATAACTTTGACTTAATCTCTTATTATCTTCAACACAGGAAAATATGGATACAAGTAGGTGTTCCATCTAAAATCAATAAAAACTAACAGTCCAAATGTTTTTTTACTAAAATTATTATTTTTTGTTTTTAAAAATTATTTATTTTTTTATATTCATGATCTCCTTGTTAGAGATTACATGTTCTTAAATATTAAGTCTTAAAATCTATCTCAAAAATAGATTTATCGAAAGGCCCGTAGTACTCCATATGCGGGCTTGGCCACATAGAAATCGGGTCCTTATTTTAAAAGTAACATGCATTTTAGAATAAAATATATAGTTTAGAATAATAATAATAAAAAAACTTTTATTTGCTAAATTAGAGTCTCCACAAGCTAATATGAAACTTTTTAGAGTTTCTCCCTCCCTAGTTAGTTTCTATCTTTGTAAGCCGTAGACAACTGGTTTTTCTCTCTCCATACTGTTAACCACTGGATATTCATCTATTTTTCAACTTTTCTCTCTTCTATTCTCGTTGTGCCTTGTGCCATAGAATCTTTTTTGGTCCATCTTTTTTGCCATTAATAATATGAGCAGTATTGTAACTTGTCTTGTTCTAACAATAGACTTTTACTAGTTTTGAAAACTTGTTTTTTAGATTAATGTATTAGGACTCTTTTCAACAACCACACAATCAGGGTGTGACATTTTGAATTAATAATCAAGCAATACCTAGTTTTTTTTTTTCATATTGTTGAGATGTAACCTTGGATTGGTCTATAACACATTTTAATGGAAAAATATTCAAATTCACAAAGTAACCTTTTTTAGACTATATATTTAAAATAATTTGTATTTTTTTGATACTTTACTATTGTTGTATGGGTAAATGCGTATATGAACTACACATAAATTTTAAGATGTGTATATATAGATGTACACATTTGTACATATTCTATATTACCAGACATATAGCATCTAGATTTTATTTTTGGGGGTTCTTATTTCTGACACCCGTATCCATGTCATAAATGTATACTTACATCCGTTTCTATGTAACATAGATAAAAACCTTACATTTGTGGAAGTAAGGTGCACCTTAAAAACCCACTCTAGACAGTTGTTTAGACATTGAAAACCATCCGGTTGATAAATCTTAAGATGTATAGATATGAAAACATAATTTAATGTTTTAAAAATGATACTTCTATAACGCATTATTTGGACCATCCATTTTCAATATTTCACAGTGTTTCTAGATTTGCTCAACTTAGACTATTTTTTGAGTTTTAAATTTCTTAGTTTTTTAGTGTTTATAGATTTGCTCAACCTGGATCATTTTTTTAGCTTTAAATTTCATAGTTTGGGTTTACATGTATGCGTTCGATTGTTTATTAAGATGCACTTAACCTATTAATTTTTAGCATTTTGCATATTCTCAATCATTCCAACTTATATATATTAGAGGAGTGATTTCGTGCAATGGCTTCATAGTAATATAATGAAACAATCTAAAAAAAATCATACTAGGGCCATTTGTTTGACCCTTATTTCTAATCGTATGCTTTTTTTCATTTTAATGAACAACAAAAATAAAATAAAATGAAAAGATAGCTTAAATAATAATTTTTTAACCCAGTTTATACATGTGATCTATTTGGTGAGATACTCAAATCTAGGCCTTCCAAGGACTTTTTTAGTTTTTCAATTTTTTTTAGTTGGCTTTGTTGTCATTGGATGAATTTTGCTAATAAAGAAAACATTGATCTTGAGTTCGTAAATGCTTAGATTTTAAAATTCACCAAAATTTGGTGTAGATTCATTGTTGAGGGCCCCCAGTTTAACATATAACTAGGGTGAAAACCGATTTGCCCTTTACTAGGATCAATTGTTGGTACGAAGAGGGTGGTCGTGAAAATTTTAGAATCATACAAATACCAAAAACATAATTTATTTAAAAATATGATTTCATTATTTTACACTTGATACAGTGATATGAATCACTCGTATCACCATATGCATTCCACTCGACACATTGGATAACTCACAAGTCAAGTATAATATAGTAGCAGTGACATTTATACATTGAAGATCTTTGAAGAAACTCATTTATATGAAAAGGGTTAGCAGAAAGATAAAACAAAACAGTGCAAAGGGACAGTTTTATATGAAAAGGGTTAGCAGCAAGAAAAAACAGAACAGTGCAAAGGGGCAGTTGCAGACAAAAGGGGTGACGTGGACCGCACCGCATTGGTTTGTGAGACTTCCACTTGGAAGGGCAAGACATCCAAACCTTTTTTCTTAATAAAAGACGAAGGCGTTGATGGCCCAACATGCGCAACACAGTAAGTCTTTTGTGGAGCCCTAATGAATTTAAACATTTTAATCAACCATGCAAAACAATAATGTTATGTTCGATAGAGAGAGAGAGAGAGAGAGAGAGAGAGAGCAAAAGTAGCGCATACAAGGATATATCAATTCGAATTTGAATAAGCAAATCGGCGATTGATCGTACCATATGCCATTGGTGCATGTGCTATTGGATGTGAAATTGCATTTATTACATTGGTCAATCGGATTCAATGTTCAAAATAACATTTTTCAAACTTTATGACACACTTAAGCGGTTATACTCCTCGTACCAAAACTAAACTGTTTCATTATATCTATCAGTCTTTTTTCAACTAATTGGATTTAACCACATGAATTATAGTCCATCATTGTACTCTATTAACGGTCTTATAAGTCTTATATATTTTAACCATGATTTACTTTTTATATTTTTTTTTTCTCTATCTCTTTTAATCTTAAAGTAAATTCTATATTCATAAAAATATTTCATAAAATTTTAAGTTGACTGCATACCTAATCCAACCCACCTCTTCAACTAAATCGGTGTCCCTATCTAAAATCCCAATATCCAGTGGAAGAAAGTAAGTAATGGATAGGATGGGTTCCATGTCATAAAAACAATTCATAAAATTTTAATTCGAACCATATACCTAATCCAACCCACCTCTTCAACTAAATCGGTGTCTCTATCTAAAATCCCAAAGCATAAGAGAGGAAAGTAAGTAATGAATAGGACGAGGGATGCTGGTCAAATTAATTTTTAATTTAAAGAACAAATGGACAATTAAGAAAGCAAAACTCGTTAAATCGGCGTCTCTATCTAAAATCTCAATGTATAAGAGAAGAAAGTAAGTAATGAATAGGATGAGGGATGCTGCTCAAATTAGTTTTTAATTTAACGAACAAATGGACAATAAAAAAAAGGCAAAACTCGACTCTAGTGATGGGTGCTTTACTCCGTCGAAAATAAAAAATACAAATAATAGCATATGTAGTACTCCCATGAAACCCAACGCCCATTGGGCGCTGCTTGCTTAATTAGCCTTGTCACCATTTGTTTCTCTCTACTCTACAGTGTGTGAATGGAGCAGCAAATTGAAAGAGCTGCTCTCTCTGTGACTGTGAGGGCCGAGTGGTGAATGAATGGAGATGGGCATCGCCGCCTTCTTTACTGTGGCTCTGGGTGGGTAAGCCTACTCAGTATTGTTACTCTTATTAGGGGGTGGCCATTTCTAGGGAATTGGGTTGTCAAAGGTTACTGTTTATGGCCTCATGCTTCTTCATTCACTGCACTTTCAACTATCTTGTATCTTATTTTATGGAAAACCGGTACAGTTGCTTCCCAAGTTTTTCTCTGAATTTTGTTTGCGTTAAATTGCTCGTTTTCCTTAGGGTCCTCCCATAAATTATTATAGGTTAATGCAAAATCCTGTGCTCCTTACGAAGTAGGATTTCTCCTTTGCTCCTTTGATGGACCTGATGGTGTGGAATCGTTGTGATTATTCTGTTTCCCATAGATAGATTGTAGAGTAGCAGTACTGAATTTATGTTTTATTTGCTTGATAGAAACTTCCTGAGTAGTTTGCCATATTTGGAAAAGGAAACACACAATAATGCAAGCAGCAGCAGCAGCAACTTGCTTCAAAGAGGGGTTTTATGGAGGGATTATTTCGCAGCCATCCTCAATCTCCTTGGTGCCTTGGTGGAGTAACAATAGTAGTAGGTCTACCATCATTAACGGGGGGGATTGCATGAAATCTTTTTTTGTGGAGCACCACCCCCTGGGAGGAGGAGGAGGAGGAGGAGGAGGAGGAGGTGTCTTCTCTTCGGAGATTCGGGCGTCAGTACCTCCTCAACAACAAGTGGTAGTAGTACATCATGATCCACATGATCATGGGCCACCCGTCAAGCCTCAGCTCGAAAAAGGCACCTATGAAACTGCAAATTTCTCTGTACATCCTGGTAACAATCTCATTTTCCTTAGAACAATTTGTTTATCAGTTTGTTCTTCTTTCTGCAATGATTTTCCTCCAAAGGAAAGGTGTACACCTGTGTTCGAAATGGCATAATTTCTAAGAGAGAGTACAAGAAAAAAAAAACCACCAGGACCAAGACTGGATGTCTCCTTAATGGTTGTTGAGATGGTGACCTATTTTCAAACCTATAATGTGCTAGATGATGCATGAAGCAATGAAAATAGCAGTAGCCGGAAACGCTTATGAAATTTGCCTTTTGGTGATTACATACCTTATGCTTTCAATGCATCAGACACCCAGAAGACTTCCATTTTTGGGTATCTGTGCAAAACATATTTCTTATGTTTTATTAAGATCTTAAAATATTTTGATGGTTTTTGAGTTAAGTAGTTGCTGTATGTTCTGTGACAACTTTGATATTTATGTAATCCCAATCTCAAGCGATAGAAGGGTTTAAAAAATTGTTTGATAGCACTATTGTTATTCACCATACCGATTCAAAAGCTCTAGCAGTAGGAATGTAAGCAAATCAAGAATAACGAGGAATATACACAGGTCCCATACATGTGAATTTATAGGATCAAAAGAATCGAAGTAATTCAGAACATGGAGACATAGGTTCTTCCCAATATTGTTCCTGGTGTGGTCTTGTTTGAGGTTCCATCAAACAGGATTGTTACCAAGCGAAACTTAGTGTCATTGAGGGGTTGAAGCTAGAAGATGACGTGCGCATGTAGAATGCAACCATGCTTATCATCTGAGCTACAACAAATTGTCCTAACCAATGTTTGATACTGAATAACAAGGCGAAAGCACTAACAAGGATGACCTTATTCTACTTTTCTTAATGATGGGACTTGCAGTTTTCTTTTTTTTTTTACAAAAAAAAGAAAAAACCAGAAGATGATTTTAAGGCAGGAACTAGAGGAAGAGATGCTCGTTAATTATGCATATTCATTTTCAAGAAAAACATAATAACCGTTGACTATAAGACAACTGTTAGACCAACTTTGCTTTATGGGGCAGAATGTTGGGCGGCCAAGAAACAAGATAGCCAAAGGATAAGTGTAGCTGAGATGAGTATGTTGAGATGGATAGTGACAAGACAAGAAGGGATATAATTAGAAATGAATACATTTGGGAATACTTGTGTGTGGTTCCGATAGATGATAAGATGAGAGAAAGTAGACTTAGGTGGATTGATCATGTGTAGCGCAAACAAAATAGAAGATATGTTAGGAGGTACGAGTTGGTTCAAGTGAAAGGCTAAAAAAAAGCAAGGCTTGGAAGTAATGAAAGAAGATATGAGGATTTATGGCCTCACTAAGGGTATGGCCCTTGATAGAGCAGAATGGTGTAACAAAATTCATATAAACGACTCCAAATAGTTGGAAAAAGCTCTGATGATGAATACAATAACCATTGAGAGAGGGGGATTGCCTGTGTATTGTGCACACTAGAGGAGAGGCTTTATATCCACTAGTTACATCTTGTTGTATGAGTAGCTAAGATACCTAAATATGTTTACTGCTACCAGATTATGATACTTGTAATTATAAAACTGTATGAATATATAAATATTTCTGAAGAGTATAATGTTATGCATGTTAATGAGTAAATCTATGGCATAGTACAATTTACACAATTAAATCAAAATAATCTAGTAATAACAGAACACTTGATTTTTACTAACGGCACCTCTGTTGAATTCTTCTTTGCCTCTTATTTTTTCATGATATTGTTTGTTACTAGATTCAAATTTCTATGCGCAGATTGTTACTAGATCAGTTAAGAGCTGATTTTTCCCCAAGGTTTTAGGATAATGGTCCTTGTGAAATTTCCTCTATATTATAATGCTTGAGAACAATGTTTTAGAACTCAGCCGAGTCGACTAGGGCTCGACCAAGTAACTTGGCTTTTGCAGCCTGCTGAGGCAAAATCTATTGACAAATTCGGGTTTCTTAAAAGCTCTTAAAAAATTTAAAAATTTATTATTAGATCACTAATAAATGATGTATAAATATGTTTCTTATAATTTTTTGTTTTTATGATAATTGGTGACATTTTCTCACTATATACGCTTTTTTTATATTTTTCCCTTTTTTTTTTTTTAATTGTTTCGAGCAATAATTATTATTTTTCCATCTTTGGTAGACTTTTTAATGCTGTTTATAACTTTTTTCATTTTGTGCTATTTTTATTATTTTTAACAATTTTTAGGTATTCTTTTGTAATTTTTGGGGCCCTTTTTTGTCTCATACATGACTCGGACGAGTGCTCTCAGACTCGCCCGAGTTACTCAGCTTAGGCAGGGGCTAAGTCCGGAGACCGAGCTGGGTAATTGAACATTGCTTGAGAATGTGATGTTAACATATTGCAGCATTATTGTTTTTTTCTTTTGAATAAATATTGCAGCATTAATGGTGTGTGAATTCCTTTATCAATTTTGTTTAATTTCTCAATGAAAATCCTTTGTATGTAACTGTCCTAAACTCTCTCCCTCTAGATAATGAGAAGAGTCATGGAAAAGGTCAAACAAGTCCACAGGTTTATGCCACCATATCTCTTCATTCAACCTCATCAGAAAATGGCCGTACTCGTTGTGATCTGGGGCTTGGTCAGGCAATGGTGAGGGTTATTTTCTAACTCTGATTGCTGCATATTTTGATTTGGAGGTTTTCAGTTGATGCCTCTTCACTTTAAACTTGCATAGAGAGGTCACTGTGCTTGATTCTCTGGAAATCATCTATAATTATTTGGTTAATAGTTGGTCAATGTTGACATCCTTGTTTGTAGGTTTGTGCCAACTATCCTCATGTAGATCAATTCTGTGGCCTATTTTCAAGTTATGGGAGCCAAGCAATGGTAAGTTTTCTTTTTTCTTGCAATATTTCGAACTTTTCTTGGTACCGAGTTGAATACTGCTTCTGCTCTCCATGGTTGATTTTCATCTATACTTTGTGCACTAATTTTTGTGATGGATAGCTATCTTGGTTTTATGACTGGTGGCTTCCTCTCCCTGGATATGTATGCCATGATATTTCTAATACTTGGTTATGCCTCGGTTCTGATTTGAATTGTTAGAAAAATGAGGAAACCCATGGTTTTGTAATTTTTTTTTTCTCTTTATTCTTTCAAATTTTTTTAAATAGCAAACTCTTGAGTTTATATTATAGAGTCATCTCCTTCTCCCTGATTGTGTTTGACTTTGGCACTAATATTTTGTGCACTAATTTTTAAGTTCTTCCTTTTCGTTTTCATCTATAATTTGTGCACTAATTTTTGTGATGGATAGCTATCTTGGTTTTATGACTGGTGGCTTCCTCTCCCTGGATATGTATGCCATGATATTTCTAATACTTGGTTATGCCTCGGTTCTGATTTGAATTGTTAGAAAAATGAGGAAACCCATGGTTTTGTAATTTTTTTTTTCTCTTTATTCTTTCAATTTTTTTTAAATAGCAAACTCTTGAGTTTATATTATAGAGTCATCTCCTTCTCCCTGTTTGTGTTTGACTTTGGCACTAAGTTTTTAATACTTAGTATAGTTGTTTCTGATTGGGGCTGAATGGAAACCTAGGCAACCATAGATACAATGTTTTTTTGAAGAAAAAAACTACAAAGGCAACCCAACCAATATGATATTTAACATCTAATACATGCTCTACATTGTTCCATGGCCTTTGTCATAAATTTGTCATGAAACATCAATGTTTCATTGCTATGACCAGAAAACAAGACTAACTATGCTACTTTTGTGCTGTCAAAGTCCTTTGTTTTCTCAGTGATGGATGTCCATTTGCATCTTTGTGTATCTAAATATTTCCTGTGACTTCGTCATAGACTTATTCATGCACAACAGTGATGATGTTGGTGCTAGAAATCATCTGAACAATGAAGGAACCTGCTCCTTGTGATTGTGGCCATTGTGTTCATGATTTTGAGAATTGGTGTAGCTTTGAGCCAATATATTATTTCTAGTGTTGCCTGTCACTTACTAATTGGTTTGAAATATTCATGTTGGCAGGCAACACTCTTTTTTTGTACTCGTAGAGAATTGCATTCTTCTTGTTACCATATTACCTTGTTTTGTGAAGGAGATCACTTGTGCATCTTATATTTGTATGAACTTGAATTCCTGCTATAACTCTGTTTGAAATTTAAGCTATGGAAAGAACCAAAAGATAGGCAGTGGTTGGACAATGGAAAAAACCAAAAGATTGGCAGCGGTTGGACTTAAAACTGGACAGACTAGCAAAACATCCTAGGCACTGGAGAGCCAGATAATCCTTTTTAAACACTTTAAGATTTCAGTATGTTGCTCATTCTTATAATGTAGAACAACCTCATCAAATCCTCTCTTTTTATTTCTTTTATGTTTGGTACTTTCTTTATTTTTTTCTGTTTAGTACTTTCTTTTACAGAGTATCTATTTCTATTGTAAAATGAAAGCTTCGTTGGGGTTTGGCAAAAGATGATGTAGACCAGTGTTTGCAAAATCAAACCGGAACGGTTAACTGGACACGAGCCCAGAAGCGGTTTAACTGGCCTAACTGGTAAACTAGCGGATTCAACTGTTCTAACTGGGCAAGTCCTGGGCGGTCAAAAAGTGTTGAAAAAAACAAAAATGATGCAAAAACAAAAATCTACTAAAATATGAAAAGCATATAAAAAATTATTAAAATAAAACACATTCAAATGAAGTTGAAACTTAATGAAAAAAATGGATTTTAAAGAATCTATTTGTGCCTACGGTTATTTCTAAATTTTATTGGAAAAGATGGGAAAATATAAAAGTGAATATTAATGACCAAAACAATTTATAATCTTTACCATAATATAAAGAATACTAAAAAATACATTACAAACCAAATTCCTTATTTTTGGGAATTTATATACATATTTTTTATTTTTTAAATACCACCCGATCACATTGGAGAGCTTCTATCAACATCTCTTTTCAGCATGTGTGATGCACATGCAACTCCACTGCAGGTCCTCTTGCCAAGCAAGAGGCATTCTTCGAAAGACTAGTGACTTCCAGCCCACAGCATAACCAGCCAAATCTGGGTTTTATTTTTCATTTTTTGCTACTTTCTTCACAGCCACCTTTTACAAACTTTGTCCATTTTTTGTGCATTCCCTTCCTCTTCAGATCATTTTGTGAGGCTTGCGACTCCCCATGTTTCCAGCTCTTTCTATACACACACCTAGGGAAGATGCGACTTTTATTTTATATTAATACAACTTACAGACAACGTTTTTCAAAATAACACAACATACCGAACTTTTTTCTTGAAATTAACATACAACTTTATCCAAAAAAAAAAAAAATATCAGCGAAACTTTTTTATAGCATGAGGAAAAATAAAGGATGCCATCAAAGCCACAATTGCTACCACTTCAACTACCACAATCACAAATCTAACTCCACCATCGCTCATCCCCACCCTAACACACCTCGGACAATAGAGAAATATCATTATATTATCTATCTCGTTCATACGTGTTTCTTTGTCAGAGCGGTCTCATTTTTCGTGTCTTTCTCGCATGCTATGTCCAACTCTCTGAGGTGCACGTACAATGCAATAAAAGGCCATCATTTTCACAGTTTTTTTATTCAATTCTAAGACTCAGATGCCAAAGACTAACAAAAAGTACTGTGGTTGAACATTTACAACCATTCCCTACCCCTACCCTCTGCTCTACTTGTGAATTTATCCCATCTAAACAGTCACACGTGGGGTCTCAAAAAGCCTTCTAATTGGTGCATCAAAATTGTCACTTCCATTCACTATTTTCCCCCTAACTTTACATTCCAGTGCACATTCTTCATGCACTTTCCCCAGATGTGCTACTTTCTTTATTGTCTACGTTGTTCGAAAAACCGGTCAATCTAACCGGTAACCGCCCAGTTAGATCGGAACCGGCCACTGCCCAGTTCCGGTTTTGAGTGGTTTGTCCAATCGGCGATGTATTTGGAATCCCTTTGACCCTGAGGGTAGGCCCCACCTAGGGTCGAAAAGCCAGACCTTGTAGAAGAGCCGAGGCTTCAGCAGTCATTGAGGTGGTGATACCTCTAGGGCCCAAAAATGTCGAGGTCTGTGTATCCGTGCCTGTCTCTGAAAACCCGCCCCACCCCTGTTTCTGAATGAACAACCGTTGGAATCAAGCTTAATGGTTCCTGGATTGGGAGGAATCCAGTAGGATGATCTAGGAAGGGGTCTATAGGAGGTTCTTATAATGGATCCACATTCTGACAGGATGTCTGCAGTGGTGTATTTTTTGAATTCTTTCTTCTGGATAGCCCATGGAATGATGCTAGATTTGATGCTGTCTGCATTACAACGGGTGGTCTCTCTTTGGCTTCCAAGCCAATGATTCCAAAGAAGTGCAAGCACAGTCACTCTCCAAAGGCACTGATTGATTGAGGGATAGGGAGGTGAGAAGAAAGCAAGGAAGGGCTGCTGAATGGTTTCTTGGATTATCCTTCCACAACCAATTTACAGATTGCTCCATATGGTCCTCATTGTTTGGTAGTGAATAAATATGCAGTCTGCAGTCTTTGCTGCCCTTGCAAGGATGCATCTGTTAGGCATTGTCAGGCCCATGCCACATCTTTTTAGTTGGTCAACTATAAGGATTTTCTTGTGGTAGTTAGCCAGCTACAGAGAGTTGGACTTTTGGCAGACAGCAGGGATCTGCGCCATGTGCTTGCAATCCAAAGAATAGGGTGGTGGCCTCTGTTCTTGCAATAGAGGGACAGCATTGAGAAGTTTGCTGAGGTCAAGGGGGCCCACAACAGCCTGTCCCTACCATGGGCAGGATTGAAGAAGTCCTGAAGGGAGGAGTGGAGGGACTTAAGTTGCAGTGGTTCATTGTCTGTGAGGTCTCTTCGTAGTCTGGGTGACCAAATCTGTTTTGGGGGGAACAACTTCAACGCCTAAACAAATTGACCCGAGTCAAGGCTAGATCTAGTCTGATGAATTTGCTCTTCATGGCCGATCGAGCAACTCTCATGAGATTTGGGTCACTTCCAGTGAAGTTTTGGAAGTCCTCCGCCTTGCTGCTTTAAGTCAAGTCTATAAGTGCTGCAGTGAAGGTTTGCAATTGTTCAGCCTTGATTCCAAACCAAGAAAGTTAGCTTTAGGGCTGGCAATGGGTCGGGTCCGGCTAGACCTGGACCCAGACTTGAATGTATTTGGGTCCAAAAGTTGGGCCCATACCTGTACCTGTCGAGTCTCGGGTCTATCCCGTTGGGTCCTGGGTCTGGTTGGATCCAGTGCCACTATCACTCTGAGCCATAGTTGCGGGGATCTTGGTAAAGGGGTGGTGTTCCCCTCTTGGAATCTCGATCAGGCGATCCGGGAGCTGGAGCCCGAGCGGTACTTACTTCATCGCATAAGGGGATCTCGATCCCTACCTATTGGGATCTCAGTTCCTAATCTAAACGGATCTTGATCCTTGACTATAAAGGGCCTTGATTCCTATCGATGGGCAATCATGACTCCTCAAATGATGGGTCGCGTTTCGAATATGACAGGTCAATTTTAAGGGCTTGTATGCATGTGCTTGTGACCCCTGATGGTAACGAGTTCATATTCCATGAGAAATTTTTTAATAACACTGATGTTGATGAGTTTATAGTTGATGTACTCATTTCAATTATGTAACATTGCTCATGAGAAATCTTCTAATAATACTATTTGACTAACATTAATTTAAATCAATTATATCAATGTACTTTATTACATAAAATACTAAGTATATGCTAATGAGTATACAATCCATGAACTCATTTCAAATATATAGCGTAGTCCATGAGAAATCTTATAGCAATAACATCAAAATTAATTTAATTCCAC